CCTCCCATTCCTTCTCTTCTGTTTCCCCTTCCTCCTCCTTTTCCTCACCTCTCCTCTTCTTCCTCCTCCCCTTCTCCCATTCCTTCTCCTGCTTCCCCTTCCTCCTCCTCCTCCCTCTCCCCTCTTTCTCCATCTTTTTTCTTCCCCTTCTCCTCCTCTTCTTCTCTGCCTCCTCTTCTTCCTTCTCCTCTTCCTCCTTTCCCTTCTCCCCTTCCCCCTCCTCCTTCCTCCCCCCCCCCCCTCATATCTCTTTTCCTCTTTCTCCTTCTCCTCCCCTTCTTCCCTCCTCCCCTTCCTCCTTATCTCCCCGCTCCTGGGAGTATCAGTTACCTGCCTATTCTAAAGAGGGGTGTTTCTTAGAACTCACCCAGCACACCTGTCCAGGTGAGCTCTGCATCCTCTTCCACCTGCTCCCCCTGTTCCTGCCCTGGCCTTGCTCCCTGGGGTCCATTCTTGGCTCTCTCTCTCTCTCCCTGCCTCCTTCCCTCCCTCACCAGGTGACCCAGCGCCACCCTTTCCTGTCAGGCTGATGAGCTTTGTAGTCAGGCTGAGGATGATGAGCTTTGTAGTTTTTTTTCTGAGCTTGCCCCTACCTGGGTCACAGGTCACCTCTTTCTCTCTCTCTCTCTCTCTCTCTCCCCCTCCCTCCTTTTCACGAGGCTGTCCTCCAGTCACCTGACATTGGGGAGGGGGGTCTCTCTTAACGTGACCCCTTCCCCCCAATACACCCAACAGCCACCCTGTAAGGTAGGCTCCGAATCCCCCTTTTGCATTTCCAAAGTGGAGAGCGACACCCATGTGCCTCTCTGCTCCCCCACCCTCCAGTTCCCTTCTGGGGTCCTGGGACACCCCCACCTCCTCCCCCTCCCCCCCCCCTTGCTTAAAAATCCTTTGATATTCTTCCCTGTCTTCTCCACCTCCTTTAATCTTCTTCTCCTTTCTCTAATTCCCTTCCTCCGGCATTTATTAGAGACAGCAGGCAGCTGTAGTCCCTGATAAATATCAAATGAATAATAAACACAGGTTGTCCCTCCCTCCCTCCCTCCCTCCCTCCCCACTCCCTCACAACCACCTGCTGAGTGAGTCTCCAGCCGAATCAAAAA